TGTTTCTGCATGCTGGGATACTATCCAGCTTCCTTGATCAGGTTGAAGTGGTTAAAATCAATGTGACATGAACATTTTAACTTTGTTTAAGCTTTATTTTAACTCCTTCCTCACATTCAAACTACATTTAGTTTACCACTGACTGGCCTTGTTACATCTTGGTTTAGTCCATTCTTTTTCTTTCCTACTCTTTCTCAGGACACGTCCTGCATGCACATCACTTGCTCCTAATCTGTCCATCAACCCTCATATCCTTTCTCTTACTCTCCCCCACGGGGGAGGTATGTGCTGATTGTGCTGTACTTTGTTGTTGCACTGTCTTTCTTAATTCTCCATCTATACAGCCAATATTCTCTATCCCCCCTTGTTTCTTCTCTCCTGCACATGTAGCGTCCCTATTGCAAAGATTTTATATTCTCCTCCTTGTTGCTTCCCTTCTTACTCTCTCCATCTCTATTAAGCCCTCTTTGTTCTCGTACCAGGTCTTCTTTCTCTTCCTCTTTCTCTTCAGCTCTTGTTGTTGCAGCACAACATCGCTGCTCCACCCCTCATCTTTCTGCCCACTTCCCTTATGTTAACCTTCAAGTTTCTACTCCTATGGCTACCTCCCCTTCTCCCCTCGCTCTTCCCCTCCATCTGATTGCTTGTTAGTTGGTATGCAGGCTTGGACCCCCATTGTGCGTTCTTGCCTGTCAGCACTCTCTTTTTCCATCTCCCTCTCCACCCCTCTCTCTCTCTCTCTTTTTTTCTCTTTCCAGCTTCTAGTGTCCACTCTTTCTAGCAAAAACCAGCACAAAGAAAAAGCGAGCAGAGGACAGGGCCTGTTGGGGGAGGATAAATGGATGGAAACAGGAGTAAGAAAAAGAGTATAAGGGGATGTTTTCACTTAAAAGAAGAATTAAGAAAGAATATAACACCCTAGAGAGATAAAGGGCACCAAGTGAGTGGAAGAGAGAGGAAAACGGGGGAGGGGCCATGGCAACGATAATATATGGATGGAGTTCTATGAAGGTGGGAGCTTGCTAGCAGAATGACAAATGGGTCTCGAGTGACAGAGTATTATATTAAAAAGTAAATTGATATGCAAATGTGGAGTGTGTGGCTTTGGAGGACAGGGATAGCCTGTTGTCCTCACTGAAGTGGAACAGAGAGAGGCAGAGAGAAAGGTGAGAGCCCGGGTGTGATAGTGATATCGCAGTTCATTAAAGTGTGTGTTTTTGCGTGATTGGTGAAGGTGCGTGTACTTAAAATCTGCGTGAATACACAGCTGTCTGTCTGTGTGTGTGTGTGTCTGTGTGTGTGTGTGTGTGTGTGTGTGTGTGTGTGTGTGGGTGTTGGTGTGGGTTTATTCACCGTATGAAATGGAGTATAGTGCAATTGGATGGCAGCTAAATGGAACAATGATTTCTCCCACACTGACAAATAGTGCTAACTTCACACTGCAGTACAGCAGCATTAAAAAGCAGCTAGTGGCAATGCAGGCGGACTACTGTATCTCATTATGAAGTCTGTTCCAGCTCAAGAGTCTATGAATGCTCATAGTGTAGCATCCAAATCAATACCAGACTACTAGCCACTAAACAAGGCTACATGGTGACTATAACCATGTTTTCTGCACTTGCACAAAAGTAAAGCAATTTTGGGTAAATAATGAACAAATCCAATCATAAAAACAACAATTCCACACCATATCTCATACAAATAAGCTTATGTATATGCTACTAATTTGCCAAATACGATTTGGAGGAAACACGAGGATTATAAGCACTGACAAGATTTTTTACCAATCCAGGAAGTATAACATTGCTGCACGGTTACAAAGCACAGGACTTCAATACCAGCGACCCACATGTTGTTAGGTTAAGGCAAACTAACTACTATATAATATGTTACCGTAAACAGGACTCATTGTGAATTTAAATACTTCTGCAACATCAGTGTGGATGAGACTGTGTGATGTTCCGTAGCATGTGGAGACCTGGAATGAAAAGAAAAGGGAGTGATGTTAGTTGTGAAGCCACAGAAATGAACCGAGGCTCAAAGCTACTCAGGTGTATCCCATTTCCTGATGTATGTTTCCATCTCTGCTTATTGGCTCCAAAACTGGGATGCCACACACACACACACACAAGCAGTAGGCACGACTTAAAACATTTGGTTCAGGTTAAAGAAAAGATCATGTTCTGGTAAAATGTCAGCAGCAAGTCAGAGTTGACTTTTTGAATATTTATTTAACTCCAACCCTTTCTAACCTAAACAAAGATCTTGCCCAAGCATAACCATTGAAATGTTAATCATGCTTTAGCTATATAGTGGATATTGTAGTGAATCTTATATATATATATATATATATGAAACAATATATTATATATATATATATATTTGAGGAAACAATGCATCTTGGAAACGCTGAAGAGATTATACAAAGAATTGGCAAATATGTGATTAAAAAATTGCTTTAGCCAGAAAAAGGCTAAAATAATATATTGGTGTAAAGCTCAAAGGAAAGAACAATGGTTCTACCTTTTTAGAGTCAAATAAAATATCTTTTGGCAGGAAGTGGGAAAAGTGGACCATCTACATGAAACAAAATGCTGATCAAGCAGCCTAATTGTTTAAAAATTGCAAATGAGAATAATGCATATAAATGTGTGATAAGCCTACGACATCTATTTGTTCTGTGGGGTTGCTTTTGTACTACTGCCACGTGTTTCGACTTTCCAACCTGAAAATTCAATAAAATATTTAAGTATAAAAAAAATTTAAAAAGATACACGTGGCATCGAGAAAATGGCTTCCACATTGTCCTCCGGAGTCCAGTTCCAGAGCCCTTAATAGATGAATTACAGGTCAGTTGCATTTAGTTGAAGGTATTAAATAAAATATCTATTTCAAACACACACACCCCCACACACACACACACACACACACACACACAGACACAGCTGTCGGGGGAAAACAAAAGCCACAGCCATGTCAGATTTTGTGCCATGTTTAAGACTGCAGCGCTAATGATTCATGACACTTCTAACTGAAGAGGAGAAATGAGTTGCTCTGTAATTACTATGGAAATGTGTTCATTTCCCATCAGACACACACACACACACACACACACACACACACACACACACACACACTCACATATGCAGCCACGCACCCGTGGAGACGCACACACTAACACAGATACACATCCAGCAGTGATGGAGAAGTGTGTTGAACGTGGGTTTTGGTGTTTTGCTGAACGCGCGTGTGTGTGTGTGTGTGTGTGTGTGTGTGTGTGTGTGTGTGTGTGTGTATCCCTGTGGGATTATCACAGTTGGAGCAGAGGTGTGACCCATGTCCCCATTCCCCATATGTTTTAAACACATGCCCCAAAGCGCTGTGTGTGTGTGTGTGTGTGTGTGTGTCAAGGGGGTAATGATAGTTCTTTGGTGTTTGACTGGCTTGAGCCCAGCTGATAACCAGGTGGGGCCCAATTCCCCTTTCATAAGAACATTATGCCACCTCCTCTTTATCCCTAAATACCAGCAACCAGTCTCTACTCTAAAGTGTGTATGTGTGTGTCTGTGTATATTCCCAAGATGGCCTATTGATGGAGTTATACCACGCCTTCAGCTGTGTAAAATCAACACAGGGATTAAACACCAAATGACGGAGGTTTACTGAGCTTAACAAGACCCCACCTTTCTCTCATTATTAGTCATGATTCTTTTCTACTTACTTTTCCTCTCTTTTATTATTTTTGTCTGTTTTGTCTTTATCTTACCTCCCCTCTCCCTTCTCTTTATTAAATCTTTGTTTGCTATTTTCCATTTCCCCTTCTCCTCTGTCCTCTACCACTCTGCTTCCTTAAATCACGTACAGTCTGTGCTGCTGATTCCCAGTCACTCTTGGCTCTAAGCCCAAATCAATTCATCTTCATGATGGACAGACATACTGACTTGTTGCTGCTTTACCTGTACAACCCCTCAAGGAGGATGGGATGAGATGGAAGTAGTGAGAGAAGAGGAGGCCATGTAGTATTTATGTCGTGCTTAGTTCCTCGTTATATGATACTGCTTCTACGTTTTATGTTTTTTGCCCTAAAATGTTTGTGCTGAATTTAGAAGAGCAGTAAATCTCAGAGACAGTGTTATGGGTGATTAGGGCTGTTAAACACTGTTTGAGGCTGAAGCGCAACAAAGTGGAGAGAAAATGCACTGACACAAACATATGACAAAAAAATCCCACAAAAAAACACACACACACACACACACACACACACACCCACACACACTAGCAGCATCCCCTTGGTCTGTAAAACAGAGTTAGTTTAATACTTCCTCACAGCTGGCTGGCAGGATTGAGTTGATCAATTTGTCAATACTTGTGTCTTGATCGTTGGACTGACCCACACCGCAGGGTGTGCGCACAGGGGGTGGGAAATGGGCATATGTGTGTTGAAGTGTGTGTGACCCTTGATAATACTGAAGGCAGTGGTTAATGGCCAGAGGGTTCCATAAAGAGAGGAGAGCTTTATGCATAGATCTGCCTCTATAGGGACACACACATTCACTCCCACACACACACACACACACACACACACACACACACACACACACACACACACATACAGACTCACTCATTTACTCAACCTTGGGCATAAGAGCTTTGAGGGAAGTGTGGAATTGACAGGTAGAAGCAGAGAAAAAGAGGAATAGGAATATTTTTTCCCCTCCAGGCTTGTCTTATACCGTGGAGTGGGTGTGTAGAGACAAAAGGAAATATCTGGTTGTTCATACACACAGCTATTGGCTGTGCACGCTCTAGTGCCAGATTTTCCTGGAAATATCATAGATTTAATATATCAAACACATGTGAGCACACACTCAAGAGTATGTTATCTTCCACAGACGTGCTATAAAGCTATATTGGTGTCTGTGTGGTGGGAAAACAGTATAGTCTAGTCTATCTATATGTGTATATATAGGTTTATAACCCAGCATGCATTCCTTTTTCAGACACTGTGGATATATCAAAGCCAAGCAGGACCCTGACGAAGAGAAGATGCAGTTCCAACATGGCCGAGGTAAAGATACAAACGCACACACATACACACATACAAATGTCTGTATGGTTGCTGTTTGTTTGATGACATATGATGTACTGAAATTCATCACTATATTCAGTAACATTATAAAATGATGCATACAAATACATGAAATAAAGCTTGATATATTTTTAAATGTGAGCTTATGCTATTATGTTTGTATGTTCACACACACATAACTTGTCTTTAAACCAAACTTCACACCCACCTGCAATGACTCACATCACCTAGCTGGCTGTACATTTATAAACAGATATTTGATTATTTTTAACAGAGTTGAACTCTAAAGTGATAACACCCTGAAAAGTTTGTTTCTTCACATACTTAGTCTGCAAACCCTCAAATGTATCACAAGTACTGAAATACAGTTACAGAACAGCATGCGGCTACGGTGCACAAGTCTCCAACTCTGTAGCATTCTCAGCTGAATAAACCGCTTTGTTTCGCACTTTCTTGCACAAATGTTTGCTGGCACAGTGGAGCTCCTTATGGGTTCCTGTTAAAATGAGTCATTTTAACACCATTGCTAACAAAGTAGTTGTGTGTTTAATTATGTAATAATTACTAATGTCACTCAAACAGAGCACCCACGCTCAGCTCCCATTTCAACACATATACACACAGTTTAAATGTCTGATGAATGTCTCTACCAAATTTCTCCACTTTTCTGCTCATCTAGTCAAGCTTCCAGGCAGCAGGACCTACATCCATCCTCACACCTATGAAGACCCCAACCAGGCCGTCAGGGACTTCGCCAAAGAGATAGATGCTTCTAATATTCGCATTGAGAGAGTCATTGGAGCTGGTGAGTTGGCAGTAAAACAGCAGTAGACTATATTAATATCTCAAGAAAAATGTAAATCTAACTTAATTGAATTCAAATAACTTAAATGTTTTTTTTATGGGGCCACTGAGTCATGTTTGCATGCATGGACAATTTTCCTTGTTTCTGACACTGTAGCGCCTGTAAAATCAAATCATTTGGTTATATAAAAGAAAATCTGGAGTCAAGATTAGATATTATATAACCTACTACAAAAAATACAGAGAGCTCAGATATTAATCAGTTGTACAAGCTGCCAGCCAGTTACATATTGTTTTGTGTGTGTGTGTGTGTGTGTGTGTGTGTGTGTGTGTGTAGGAGAGTTTGGGGAGGTGTGCAGTGGTCGGCTGCGTGTTCAGGGAAAGAGGGAGATCTACGTGGCCATTAAGAGTCTGAAGGCAGGATACTCTGACAAACAAAGGAGGGACTTCCTGTCTGAGGCCTCCATCATGGGACAGTTCGACCATCCGAACATCATCAGGCTGGAGGGCGTCGTCACAAGATGTGAGTTGTCGAACAAAAACACTTTAATCTGTGTGTGTAGTTGGATGACGCACTCCTCTTTCCTCTGTCACATACCTGTGTGAGACAGCAGAGCTGTGGGTGATGTAAATAGGAGTTGACCCTGGATCAGATAAAAGCTCCATTACCATGGTAACACATTGATGACGCATGGTGGTGTGCATGTGAGTGCCGACTGTCCGCCTCTCAAGCGTCCACTTGTTTACTTCGCATGATTGTGTTAGACAATTAGAGTGAATGTGTGTGTTCATAGACACAGGCCTGGTTCAACAAGATGGCTGATTTGTTATCGCTGGGCCTCACTCTCTCCATCACTCTCTCTCTCTCTCTCTCTCTCTCTCTCTCTCATCTCATATCCCTATCTCTTGCTCCAGCTGTCTCTCTCCGTCAGTGTCCATCTAATCTCATTCAATCGCTCCCCATTCCTCTCTCTTTTTCTCTTGCTCTCCAGCTCCCTCAGTCAATCCCAGTCTCCTCTTCTATCTCTGACAAACTGATGCGTGCCTCAAATATCCAGTAGGGTACTCAAGGAACTTAAAAGTATATTTAAGGTCTTCAAGTAACCTTTCCATAAGATGAGGTTCCTGGAAGAAACCTTGACAACCTATATGCTACTGCAGAAAGCCTCTGACCCCCACTGTGGGTTCCAGTAATTTTTCATTTTTCTTCAGCTCACAGCTTCTGTGGGAGCCATTTTTTATTTGAGTGAGCCCTTGAGCAACTAGAAGGGTTACTAGAAGAGCTTAGTGCCCAAAAAGGTTCTTTTAAGAACCCCCGGAAAAATCCAACAATCAGGCAAACAAGAATGTTGTATGCTTCCATCAACCAGTAAAGTTGCAATTAACATTCATGTCTGTCCAGACTCATAAAGTGTATGTAGTAAATACTTGAAAGGAATTGAATACAACATTATAAAGTGTGTTGTTTGGCTGAATGGAAGTTATCACTATATTGATGATACAAATGTATAATTCCAGTGAAAAGTGAATATTATAGTACTCTCCCTCTCTTTGTCTCCCTCAGTCAAACTCAGAATAACATATCTATATAAAAAATCTTTTTCCACCACACTAAAGTCACAGGCATAAGTTGCTCGGTAGTTTAGATTTTGCAGAACAGCAGAGCCTGATTAACAGGTAGCATTTATGATGATCAAGTCCCTATTTTGTACTCATTGAGATGGCAGACAAGAAAAACTATGTCATTGATAAAAGCTAAATTGCAAGTTTGACTATATTAAAACAAGTGTAGGCGATGACAGAAAGTGGCAAAAAATATATTAATTTTTACTTTTGGTCAGGAGCTTTAAGGCCCGACCAAGAATAATAATTATAACAATAACAATGTGAGCATCCACACTGAGGAACAGAAGCCCCAACACGCTGCATGCTTCAGCTGTGTAGGCAGCATAGGAAACTGTATATTGATGACCATGCAATGCGCAGAGAAACATAATGAAAACTGGAAGGATATGGGTTTACAATGTTCTTCAAAGTTGAGAGTAATTAGGATAATCCAACACTACGTATACACTTCACACTACACTTACACTATTGTAAGAATTTTCGTCTTTTGAAGACAAATTTTATTCACTCATACACTCATACAAAAGAGACCATTACTAAGGACTTCAAAGACCCCATCAGCACTCAGGACTGTTTTGCAGCATGTCTCAGGTAAAATTATGTTTTTTTATGTGTGATTTGCAGCCATGTATTAGAGTTTAATAAATTGTATACCACAATATCGATCATCAAATCAAAGTAATCCCAGCAATATTGTTCGCCACCGTCGTTGTCATTACAGTCGTGGTGTTGACTCCACCATCCACTTGAGTTAAAACCACTTTTGTTATTGTTATAGTTATCCTCTAAGCGTGGATACCTTTTCAAAACAAACCTGAAAACACTAGTGTGGTCGTGCATCCTATTCAAGCGTAAATTGAGTTTTCAAAATTAGCCATCTTCATGTCTCTTTCCCGTCCTACTGATGTTCCTCAGCGACACTGCTCTAACGCCTTGTTATGCGGATGTGTGAGAGATCTACAGACAAGCAAAAGGAAAAGGGAGACAGTTGTTACAAAGAAACATTGTAAACATTTAGGCAGAAAAATAAATCTCCACTCCCCTCCCCATCTCGCTCCCTCCCTCTCTCCCTCCCTCCCTCTGTCACACACGCACACACACAAAGATCTTCAGTCCATCACACACTGGTGCTCAGTGGCACTTAGGCCAACAATAAAAGAGCAAATGCATATGCATAGGCTTTTATCATAAATATTAATAATTCATAAAGTTAATTGGATGTGTTTTTTAGCTACATGAATATTCAGCAGCTTGCATATTAAGAAAGAAACCCCACTGCATTTCTTATTCATACTTACTCTCTCATTGTCTAAATAGGGTTTGATGTTAGCCGTGACCTTTGGTTAGCAGGATGAGGCAGTTTGCAGAAGTATAACAGCAACAAACTAAATCAAATGTCTTTTTTTTTTTATTCTGACAGGCAGACTTGTAATTACGGCACATTCTTTTCAGTGGCACACATACTATTCTGATTTAAAATACCAGAGTAAATTCAAGAATTACTGCCAAATCCTTGAAATAATAAGTGACTGAGGACAATAACAGGAGTTGACAATGAAGCAGCTAAATAGCAGAAGGTTGGCTTGACAAGAAACTCACTTAAACATAATAAGGTGGTCTTTACTTCGCTGTTCTCTGTGAATATAAAAAACCTGTTTGTGTGGGTTGTTTTTGTGATGTGTGCATGTAATTTTACATGCGTCTCTTTGTGTCTCTCCTCTCACCTGTCTTCACGGCACATTGAGAAGCTGATAGAGCTCCTCAGAAACAAATCTCAGTTGCGCAGCAGTAATTTCACAGGTCAAAGCCCAGGGTGTGTGTGTCTGAGTGAGGGGGTGAGAGTTGAGATGGGTCAATAATTCCTTCAGGCCTTTTTCTCAAGCACCAGCTGGTCCCTTCACACCGCCCTCAGTGTAATCAGCCAGGCTGACCCTGACTGCTCTGGGCTCAGGTGTGTTGGATTGGTTTGTGTAGGTGTGCATAGTAGTAGAATCCGTAGTTGGAGGAGTACTATTGGTTGGAGCAGTGCAAGCCGTTGTCACAGTTATGTTGTGGTAGAGGTGTTTGCAGTAACAGAAGTAGCTCTGGTAGTAAAGCAGCAGAAGCAGTTGTTACAATATTAACAGCAGTAGTAATGACACTGTAGTAAATCTGGCCTTCCTCTGAACTTAAAAGAGTAACATGATAGTGTTTTATTTATTGCTTCCAAGGTATCCAGATGTACAAAATTCATGAGCAAAATATGTATGTACATGCACATTATATCTGTATTTATACTAAATGTACAATGTGCCTACAATATAAATGCACTTGAACCTATACTGGGCTCAATGTGCTCCTACAGTACCTAATATTTTTCTAGATATACACCGTAATAGTATTTTTTCACATTTCCTATTGTCAAAGTAACGGGGAAAATTAAATCCAGAATGTATGCAATGGCTATTACTACCTTTTCTCCAACTGTATCATTACATTTGATGCATGCTACTATTCATTGTGTAGCTTAAACATTCAAACCAGAGGGGAGGCATGCTCTACTGAACAACGCTTTCATATTAGACAATGTAATAGTGCTGCAACTGTTTTCTTGAGTCATAATGATATATGATGACATAGTCTTACAAGTAACACTGTCAGCATAATAGTAAAAGTACTATGTAGTAGGGGTAATACAACCTATAGTCTTAGTAGTGTACATATATACATATATACACATAGACACACATATATAGCACCGTAGCATTTGTTATAGTTTCTTACAGTCTCTTTTTAAGCTGCCACATTATCAGTGTTAAAATGTAGTGTCTTCCATGTTTTTATGTTGATTTTCTAATTGTTTTTTGATGTGTGTCTGTTGTTGAGGTATGCTTGTTTCTGTGAAGCAACAAACTGTAGCACTGAGCCCAAGACAAATTTCCCCTCAGGGACAAATTATGTTTATTCTATTTTATCCTATATATACACGCACATATATACACTACTCACGAAAAAGGTAGGGATATTTGGCTTTCGGATGAAATTTCAGAATGTACATAAAATGCACTATAACCTTTCCAGGTGATCTTAATTTAAACTTCTCTACTTAAATGCCCTACTTTCATGATATAATATCACTGTAGCATCCACTTTTTACATTTTCATTAAATTTCACCCGAAAGTGGAATATCCCTAACTTTTTGTGAGTAGTGTATATATATATATATGTATACATACATATTATTATATTAGTAGTGGTAGTACTAATGTAGCGGTATTTCTTTTTATTTTGCACAGTTGTATTTTGTACTGGGTGTGTGTGTGTGTGTGTGTGTGTGTGTGTGTGTGTGTGTGTGTGTGTGTGCGCGTGTGTTCTCTCCGCTTAAAACCTCATAAGCCTTCAGCCCCTGCTGTGTGCCACTCTAATAACCTCCTCTGCTGTCTGTCACCTGATTGTTGCTATTGTCATGCTAATTAGAGCGCCACACGCAGAAAATGAGAAAAAAATAGATCTTTCTTTTCTCTATCTGCCTCTCTACACATCAGGAAAGTGCAGCAATCTGCCCCTCCCCTCCTCCCCTCCAGCCCCCCTCCATCTCCTTATCTTCCCTTCATCTCCCCCGTCCCTCATTTTATCCGTCCGTCCTTTATGTGTTTTACAATCGCTGCAACAATCGGCTCATTTGGAAAACCCTCAATTACCGAGCTCCATCTCATCTGCCCACATCACACACACACACACACACACACACACACACACACACACACCCGCCTCCACACACACACACACACACACACACACACACACACACACACACATTTAAAAAAAGTTCTTCAAAGGTGCTGTTAAAACCGGCAAAACCACCCGTCTTTTCCACCCGTCTACTGTTTGAAGAAACTAGTGATTAGTTTAAACTGTGTGTCTTTGTGCACTGAACAATAAGTGTTTCAATGTTTCCTGTCAGAGTATTTGAAATTATTCACATTTTGAATATGTGTGCAGATGTGGAGATTGGACCACAGAGACAAATGAGGAAAAGGAGAACCAGGAAGGGAATGTAGAGAAGAGGTGATGATGGGTGTTGGATGGAGGGGGATGAGATAGGATACAAGAGTGAGGAAATGAGAGAAGATAGGGCTTGAGAACAAATGAGGGCAAGGAGGGGGAGATGTGCGAAGAGATTTGAGGAAAAATAGACGAGAGGAGGGAGATGGCGAGGAGACAAACGTGAGGAAATGAGTGGAGATGAGAAAGTGAAGAGAGGGGAGGAGAGGTGAAGAGAGGAGTGGAGATAAGGTTATTGAGTTTCTGTCTCTGTGTTTCTCCGCAACCCCCGCACCCTCATACGGAGCTTCCCAGAATAGAGATCTGTCCTGTGTTAAAAGCATTGTATCACTTAGTTCGGACCCTTAACATTAATCAATACAGCAGTTATTTCATTTTCTCGTTTGTACCTTGGGCCGTCTCATTCAATAATGCGGTAATGCAGCCCACCGGTGCACACACAGATAGCAGCTCATAATGTGATTGTCCAGATGTATACAGACTTATCACTTTCATTTACACTCACACCAACACAGACAGAAACAGCCTCTCATAATGTGATTTACCAGATATACTGTATATATGTTGTCTCTATCACTTTCATACACACACATTCACAAATTCACACACACGTGAGGCCTAAATGATCCTCGCTTTGTCCTGGGGAGAGCAGAGACAACACTTTCTACTTTCACTTAATGAAGAGCTGTAAAAAAGAGCAAACTCCTCTCTGATCCATTCCATAACACACTCCACCTGGCAGAACATCAATACCCAATCTGCACCCACACACACATCCATACACTAGGAGGTGTTCTTAGCTCTGCACACGGCTGTGTTATTTCTGAAGGCAATGAAAGGCGATAAATTCGAATGAATATGAACGTGATTAGTTAATTATGTGCTTTCAGGAGGAAATTGAGGAGTGCTTGTGAATGTTTGGCATGGAGGAGCTCCACAACGAGTTGGAGTGGCGCCGTCAGTGTGTGTGTGTTTGAAATATGGATGGCATGTGACGAAGTCGCAACAAGAAGTGAAAAGGATTCACTGAATCGTGTGTGTGTTTTTGTGTGTGTGTGTGTGTGTGTGTGTGTGAGTGTGTGTGTGTGTGTGTGTGTGTGTGTGTGTGTGCACTGGCACCTGACAAAAAGAGGCGCAAGAGACGAGCTAATATACAGCGCGAGTGCGTGTGGTCGGGTTTATTGGTAACCTCTGTTATCTTTCAGAGTTGCAGGGATAATTCTGTATGGCAGGTGTCCAGATGATGACTAGTGATAGCAGAGTGTGTGAGTGTGTGTGAGTACATGCCAGGCTCACAGGGTCCTTGCAGCCAAGACAACAGGATAAATGTGTTTCATTGTGCTTCTCTCTTGACCGCATCTAACACCATGAGCCTTAAGGGTAATATTCTCCTTCACTGGTAACATACATGGGTTTACACACACACACACACAGACATACGTAACACACGTACAAACACATAATTGGTTTTCAGAGGTAGGTTTTTATAGCTCTTTTCCATTTCATGGCTCTCTGCTTTGTAGAATATGTCATTCAGATGTGCATATGGCTGTCTGTTCTGTATGGACACACACAGAATAAACATACATGCATTCAAATTCACAGGGTCTATAATCTTAGACACACCTCCTAGGTGGATACAAGGCTGTGAAGAGTCAGACCTCCTTTCAGTCAGGATCAATCGCATCAACTGTTTTATCTGTCGCTGCGAAAAACACACACACACACACACACACACAAAAAGCAGACGCCTCTGATCAGGGCTGAAATCAGACGGTCGTCATCGTGCCGTCCCTCCCCACTCGCCATGCCCTGAAACCAGCTCTCTCTCTCCCTCTCTCTCTCTCTCTCTCACACACACACACACACACACACACACACACACACACACACACACACACACACACACACACACAGAGCAACACATAACACACAACACAGGCCCCGTGTGGAGATAAATGTGACCAGCAGTCCTCACCCCCAGCAGAAGAAAATCCAATTCTCTTTCACTTTTATCCCTGAGACTAATGTTACTGTCAAAGAAGACACCACCACCAGAGACCAGGCGACTCTGTTTGTGTGTGTGTCCTTGTCTGTATATGTGTGTGTGTGTTTGCTGCAGTGAGATAGTGAATTCATTTAAGGTGATGTATTGCTGTCTTTACCTACAATCTCACTGTAGGCCTCAGTGGTGTTGTTCCTGCCTTTTAGTGACAAGCTTTTGACCCTTCCTCGTCCTCCTCCTCTTCCTCCTGCTCTTCTCTCCTCTTCTTTCCTTTCCTCTCCTCTTCTTTCCTTCGCTATTTGCTTCCACTTTCCTCATCCGATCAATCTTTTTTTCCCCTCTGTTATCCTTTAACTCTTTTCTTCTTTTGTCCAATTGATGTTTTCCATATCACTCCTCAATCTTCTATATTAGTTTTCCATTCATTTCTGTACTTTTTGAACTTTTTCTTTCAGTTAATTTTCAGTTTCAACTTTTAATTCAATGGACCTTTATTGGCCTGACATTTTGATCAAAACCATGTTGTCCGAGTAAATAAGTTAGGTAAATAACCATTTAGTGAATACATAAGGAGTAGTAATGTACACTCCAAGAAAGGAAAAGTCATTACTAATAACACTTAAAATAAAATGAGAAGTACTCACAATCTATTTTTGTTGTTCTTTAAAAAATATTCTACCAGACGAATCTCTCTGTCTCTACTCCTTCAGTTTCTCTCTCCGTCTCTAGTGCTGTCTTTATTCCCCCCCCCGGTTTTCCCAGCGTCTCTGAGGTCTGATTGGGGAAATGTGACCTATTCATCACAACTGACATAGTCTGTGTGTTTACAAACCAAGCACACACACACACCATCATTTGTACTGTGCATTGCATGTTTGTTTGTGATTGGCAAAGATTGGCACTAGGGGCTGGTGCCTATAGGGAGAACCCTATAAAAGAGGGACAACTGCTGTTTTTGGTGTGTGTGTGTGTGTGTGTGTGTGTGCGTGTGTGCGTGTGTGTGTGTGTGTGTGTGTGTGTGTGTGTGTTTGCAGGTACTTTGTTAATCATTTGTAAGCCCCACCAGATGCCATGCAGGGGACCATAGTGCACAGGGCCTGTCAGTCAACCACCCTTTCATCGCACAAACACGCACAGAAACACACACTCATGCAGGTGCAGGTGCATAGCGATCAAACCACAACCCCCTTCCCCTTGAGGCTGATTAGTATTCATGAGATCTCAGGAGGCCCCCTCATACACACACAAACCAACACACACATATTCTGGTGGATTGGTCCATTCTAATTATCTCATGGCGTTTATGGAGAGGGCTGATTAGAAGCTGTCAGTGTGACTGATGACGACATGCCATGTTATCCCCTAGAGAGAGGCAGAGAGACAGAGAGGAAGGCTGGTCACAGCTGTGGACTCCACTACTTCTCTGTCCTCGTCCCTTTATAGTTGGTGTCTTTCTTCCTTGTAATTCTGCTCCGCTAACAGCTGCCTTGTTATGTGTATCCGTAGGTAAGCCAGTGATGATCATAACGGAGTTCATGGAAAACGGATCTCTGGACACTTTCCTCAAGGTCAGTTACAGCCCAGCTGGAAAAAAAACACAGCGCTCACACTTCTTCCAAGGGCAGAGCCACAAGTCTTTTACAAAAACCATGTGGGAAATGATGTCCCTGCTGTAAAGTGTTTGAAATTACAGAGTTCATTCCCTCAAATTGCTGTACTTGAGGGCAGATTCTTTTAAAAATATATAAAAGGTACCTGATTGAAATTGTCTTTCATTCCTCAAAGCTGTTGAATTCACTCACTTCACTATAAAAGTTTTACAAAGTCCACCCAAGTCTCAAGTTTAATCAATCACTGACTGTGTTAAGAAGTATCCTTTAAATCAGCTGATTAAAGGTTCTAAACTGGTTCTGAACCACATTAACAGTGTAAACTATACAGTTTTACACAATCTAAACAGAATAGAACTGTTTTAAATCCCAGTTTTTTTCTTAATAGGTAAATGTGTCGAGCTAGGAATGACATGTCTAAACAAGGCAACACCTCTTTATTAAATGGTTCAGTGAACATAGAAGAATAATTGGTAACTGTAATTATACATAGAGAGTCTTTTATGGGGTTAAATGTTGAGTTAAGTGGCTAGGCAGAGATAAAGAGAGCAATAGATGGAGGGAGTGAGATGGACAGAGAAGAGGATGATAACAGAAACATTCAGATGGATGTGTGGCATCCCCACACTTTTATCACATGATGTTTGATACTGAATTTATGAAATGCACTTAGTGTCCATATCCCAGAGCAGAAAACAGCAGCAGACTGCTGACAAATGGGCAATAAAACAAATAAAGTGTATTGCTTTGTGTGCAACATTTGCTCTGTCAGGGGATACAAATATCAACAGTTCAGTGTAATGTGATACCACAAAAGTCACATAGTTGTTAAAAGTCAAGATGGCAACTGAGAAAAAACATTGAAAATCACCTCCCAACTGCCAATTTCAAGAGACATTTATTATTGTGAGAGACTGGTTTATAAAGAAAACTACCATTTGTAGAGTAAACGAACACAGAGATCAACCCCATGGCAAAGTGAGCTGATTTCACTCAAGGATATTGCTCAACCTCTGATCTGTGATTTAAAGACCAAAAGAAGGCCGTAGAGGTATCACTTTGTTATTAGAATTGACATTATGACAAGAGCTAAGAGAGCCTGTCACTCAATACGTCATTACACAAACTGATGTTTTTACAGATTAGAACACCAAGTCTCTGAAACAAATCACACACTTGCAGACATATTAAGAAATCTAGATATATTTTTGATTGACAGATGGTTTTAAAGCAATTCTTATACACAAACGTATGGACCTTTATATAATTGCAAATGCAGTAAACAAGCATGTGTTGTACATTCTGATTAATGTGTGACTCATGATTCCTGTTCGTACTGAATATGTGCCAAGATGTAGCAAACGCGCAGTACCGATTTAGCCGAGGAACCTTGAATAGAGTTTTTGCATACACCCAGATGAATAGCTTGTTGCAGCCTTGGTGTGCCTCACATTCAAAATCCTACTGATTCATATTCAGAGTTGTTTGTCAGCCAGTAAAATCACTGCAGTGCTCCAAAGCCATTAAGCCTGTGATGATAGGCCCATCGCTAAATAGACACCAATCCCATCAGCAACACTGACGCGAAATGGAATGAAATCTGACAGAAAATAAAAAATGGCTAAGGAAGATAGTAACCTGAAACCCACACACACACACGCACACACACACATGCATGTTGTGTGTATGTGGTATTGTAATGAGGGTCATAAAGGGTGTCCGCAGTGGCTCAATATAATTATGGAATCAGTTTTATGGGTTTTACAGCTCATCCGTGCTCCTGGCATCCATATGTGTCTTTAATTATGCTGACCATTTATTAAGCAGCCGTCCCTCAGAAATAACAAAACCACTGCTCTGTCAGAGAAGCTCTTCCTCTCCTAGTCTCATTGTTTCTACCTGCAGTGGCCTTTTTGTCCTTTCCTTTATTAGGTTTCCCCTTTTAAGTAATATGCCAAAATCTGTCCCAAAAAATAATTTTCCATCTTCAGCTTTCTCATCTGTCTACTTCATCTCCTTGTCTAACCTCTCTGCCCAGCATTTGTCTCCCCTCTCTCTTTCCCTGCCCTGCCCACCCTTCCCTCCTCCTTCCTGGCAATACAATGTGGTGGGCAGATTGATAGAGGAAGTCTGTAGGTTTGTTAGACAGTCCAATCAATCAGCATCTCACAAAACCACCAGCTAATTAACTTACTCCACAGCTGCCGAGGGAGAGGGGGAGAGAGAGAAAGAACGATAGAGGAAAGGGAGAGCGGTTGGGGGGTGGGTGGTGTGTGGGGGGTGCACAGATGCAGAAAGATGAAGGAAGATGGATAGATAAATGGAGACTGAAACAAAGTAATACAGAGTTCTCTTTCCCTCTCTCTGAGACAGAGACTGAGGAGAGACAGAGATGGATGGCGAGGACAAAGAGACAGAGGGAAGGAGAGATGATATAAAGGAGAAAGGGTGACTGATAACATGGATGGCTTTTTAACGGGGACCGGTGGCCCAGGGCAGAAATAATTGGCAGAGGAAGGTGAGCTGGACCGTCATCGATCAACAGGCACTGCTCTCTGCCAAAGACAGCTCAAATCTGAAAGCCACTGAGCTCTGCTTGGGCACATGGTCAGTGTTAGAGTGGAACGTTTTGTCTGCTCTGTCAGATCCAATCCTCTCCAAGTAGGATTTTTTTCGTGATCCTCCATTGATCCCTGGGAGGAAAAATTCATCTTTTGCTTGTGCCATCAGAGAGAGGTCAAAGCGCAGGGTTAGCAAGAGCTGGTAGGGATTCAGAGTCTTGCTCAGGGACACTTCAGAAGTGCATATTGCTGCCATTACAGATGCTTGAATCCTGGCTTGAACCATCGCTTCCAGCTGTAGTTGTTGAAGGATGCCCTCCTAATCACTATGCCACCCTGCTGCAGCATTTACACTCTGTGCTGTCTCCTTGTCTCTCCCTCCAGAAACATGACGGCCAGTTCACAGTGATCCAGCTGGTTGGCATGCTGCGTGGCATCGCCTCAGGTATGAAGTACCTGTCAGACATGAGCTACGTTCACAGAGACCTGGCAGCGCGAAACATCCTGGTCAACAGCAACCTGGTGTGTAAGGTGTCTGACTTTGGCCTGAGTCGGGTTCTGGAGGACGACCCAGAGGCTGCCTACACTACAAGGGTAAGACACACTCTCACTGGCTGCACTTTAAAATGTTATTTCCAATTACAGTTCATCCACCCACTGACCTGTCCATTGTTAGATTCAGCTCAAAACCAAAAAGAGAAGAGACTCAAACACTAGAGGCACAACAGGCTGCTAGTAACTGTGAATGGAAACTTAATAACATTACATGGCTGCCTCTGCTAAGACTGTGCGAAGACTCAAAAAAGCCTGGAGTGAATCAATTTCGCTTGTTTTGATTTCCTCAGAAAATAGAACAATGTAAAAGCACTACAGAGAAACGTGGGGAAAGCTGATCACTGCAGGAGAGCAAAATTCACAATTCTATATAACTTTAAAAAGCTACCAGAACTTGAAAATGACAAAAACACATCACTCAGGAAATGAACTACGATGGGAGAAAATAAATGTCCAGCCAGAGCTGAATATGTAAATTATGCTAAACACACCTGGATGTTGCATTCTCAAGAGACGTGAGAGGGCATGTATAAAATGTTTCTGCAATGGCTGAACAAACACATAAGGCTCTATTAGAAGCTGAAGTTTTGTATGAGGTCACAGCTGATGACATAAATGTTTACTGTTCACAAAATTAATTGCATACAAACTCCTCCTCCACTTTATGTTTTTGCCTATACATAGTCAAATCAAAGAAGTCTTTGGTAACATCACCATCCTCTCACAGAGCACAAAGAGGGTGAAGAAACTCAAACGTCAGTGAGTTAAACCACTGCGGAGTAACTCATCTAAAATGCCCACAAGGAGATGGCATTATTCATATTCATAGGAAGTGTTGGGGATGTTATTTTTAATATGGCATTAGCATTGCCCTGGGAGGAGTGTATCAGCCGCTGACTGCTCTATTGCAATCACACACACACTCCCACTGATGTCAGGAGACCTAGATGGAGAGCTGCAGGCATGAGGGGGGAGGCCAAGGCGGAAGGGAAGAGATGCAGAGAGAGAGGATATCAAATAAGACAGAGATCGAGGGAGGGATCCAGTGAGAACAGTTGAGAGGGGAAAAAAAGGGGGATGGGGTAGGGGTGGACAGGGGGTGGTGGAAACAAAAGTACAGTGCCGAGCGACTTGGCAGCTTTGTCTTTTATTTGACTTTGACCAAGCAGAGATGGGGAATGCTAGGTGGTGCAGAGGCAGCTGCCGCATGTTAAAAAGCTGAACAGAGCCCTATAGAGGTATGGGGTGTGTGTGTGTTAGAGTGAGAGCGAGGGTGGGGGTATCTTACTGCCTATTGTGTCTATACAGTGGGCTTTATGGAATCCTTTTGATCTGTGCATCAACAAGGGCAGGAGCAGCATGGAAGGAGAAAAAAGAAATTGATGGCAAAAGAAAGTGCAAGAATAAACACTGGAGCAAAAGGAACCCTACGATCATATGGGAGAGTTAAGCTGGTGTGTAATCTCGACTGCTCTGTTCTTAAAGGCAGCGAGCTTCTCTGCAGCCACCTTCTTATAAACTGTTTTGTCAGCTCTACTCTTGATTTATTACAGCGCTTAGGCACAAACGTATTAATAAAACAAACTCTAAATATTTACACCGGTACAGACAGGGTAAAACATCAAGTTGAGTCTGACATATTCAGTATGCCAAGAATGTGTTGACTGTGTTGTGAACCATCTCCAGGGAGGGAAGATCCCCATCAGATGGACGGCTCCAGAGGCCATCGCCTACAGGAAGTTCACCTCAGCCAGCGACGTGTGGAGTTACGGTATCGTCATGTGGGAGGTGATTTCATATGGAGAGAGACCCTACTGGGAGATGTCCAACCAGGATGTAAGTCACAGTGACTAACTTCCTCCTCGATCTTCAGCTCAATTCCTAACAGTGAAACTTTTTATCTCCCTCTATTGTATTGATCACTGAACTTGATATTTTACACTGTCTCCCCTGCAGGTCATCAAAGCAATAGACGAGGGCTACCGTCTTCCCGCTCCAATGGACTGTCCTGTGGTGCTGCACCAGCTCATGTTGGACTGCTGGGAGAAGGGACGCAGCGACAGGCCAAAGTTTGGACAGATTGTCACAATCCTGGACAAGCTCATCAGAAACCCAGCCAGCCTCAGAGAGCTGGCCAACAGCTCAGCATGGTCAGTGGGAGAAATCTATAAATTAAATAAATAAATTGTGATTTCCACACTTTCACTGACATGCACATGTAGTTTTGAGAAATACTTGGATTAGATCAGAGGACGGTACATGCAATGAAAAAATAATCGCTACCTCAGATCTACATTGTAAATCTACTTTGTCGGAAATGTCATTTTTCAGTAAAATCACATTCTTATCTTTCCTCAGCAAAGTAATATTTGTCACTGGAAAAGGTTGTGGGTTGGCATATTCATAGTCACACATTCAGTTTAGACTCCCCGCCTGCTCAGTTGTACTTCACACATGCATTGAATACCATTATTTTTACATTTACATTTTTACACTCCAGGCATTTAGCTGATGTTTAGAACCAGACCAGCATACAGAGCATGCAACAGAACAGCTTCAGTCCTTTTCAAAGCACACAGAAGACACTCTAAACATAAAAAAACTGAATCCCAGCACAACATGACCAAAAGAAGAGTCTTAAATATGGGTCTTGGCAGACTATAGCACGGCTTTAACTGAAGCATATACTGAACAGAACTGTAGTAGTACATATTGTATGCAAGTGCAGATGGAACTACTATTGCATGGTAGAGGTTTGAGCATGCAAATGAATAAACACACAGATACTTTGTAACAATTTATAACAATAGGAAGCAAGCAAACAAGTCAAAGGGTTCCATAAGTAAAGCTGTGTGCGCTAGTACTGTGGGGGCAGTGAGGGAACAAATCATTAATCATACTTACCCACTAATGGCTAGGTTTAAAGTTTAGGGTTTATGTTTTCTTTTCACAGAGGATTTGAGTCTGTCATGCTGCGGTTGTTGCAGAATTAAAGCTATTCTGTCCGACCAACACCGTGAATGAGCATTAACTGGCTCTTCAAACGTGCTGCTGACAGTTTTTATTTTTATAAATGAATACCCTAACAAGAGTTGGGTTTCATAATTGCTCCAAGGACAAATAATTGACTTCAGCACCAGTCAGAAAGTGTTATTTAGCCACTCAACAGGACAAAATGTCATTGAGTTTTGAGTGTGCTTTGTATCCCAGCAGGGAGGATCCGTCCACCCCAGAGTTCAGTGTGAACACAGTGGATGAGTGGTTGGAGGCCATCAAGATGGGCCAGTATAAGGAGAGCTTTTCCAGTGCTGGATATGTCAGCTTGGACTCAGTCCTCTACGTCAGTGTCAGGTACAGATGGCTGGTGACTCATCCCAGTTAAATGAAAAACTCAAAAGGTCAACATTGTCAGTAAAAGACATATTACATTCCACTTGAGTGTCATTTGAAATGAAAGAAGGGGATTTACACAAGTATCTTTGACACGAAACCTGAGCAGGTGCTTGGCATTTGAAGAACAATGTAGTTGTTCTGTGTTTTTCTCTTAAAGTTTCATTAATAAATCATATTTCTGTCTGCATGTTTTTTTCTGTCTTCCTTATAGTGAGTTGGCTAAGATGGGTGTGAATCTGGCTGGCCACCAGAAGAAGATTTTATCCAGCGTGCAGAGCCTGCAGACCCAGGGGACGCACGTCCAAGTATAACAGTTTCCACATAAACTCACAGTGAGACAGAGCCAAAATGGATGCTCCTGTGAAGAGTTTCCCCACCGAAATGGAGTTGTAATGGATACTCTGTGCTTGGGCCTCCATTGATTTTGAGCCACACTGAGATGGAGACAACATGGACGCTTGACTCCTTCACCTTCTCGCAGTTTCACCATTCTTCCCATCCTCGATGGGCACTACCGGCTTTAGCACTCAGAGTCCCAGCAACACAACCACCATTTTGGAGCAACAGAGAGACACATGTCCAACAACAAGGCCACATCTAGAGCATCTCAGACCATTTCACATCATATCAGCTCAACAAAAGAAGAAGAAAAGATTTTTAACAAATGAAATGACAAAAAAACAAAATAAATTAGAATATAATTATCATCACTGTCTGTGAGGTGTACAGTTGGTTTTTACTGTCATTTTGTTTCTGTTTTGAGTTTTCACTTCGAAGAGTTTAAAAAGGGTCAGAAGATATGTATATGTGTAGATATATGTTTATATGGGCTGTGTGTCCCACAACCGTAGAGATGGACCTAACGTTTGTATTGGTGGTGAGGTTTATATCGCTCAACCTTAATAGGAGTTATTACCTAGTACACATATGGCCCCTTCCATTGCTCTCTGCATACAGAAAGCCAATGAATCAGCCGAGATTCTGAAAGACATGAATGTGTTGGGTGAGGGGAACAGAAAACCTGGACCTTTAGAGATAGAGAGGGATGTAGATTTTGCTTGCTCATGTAGGATGGAAGTGATGATTCATTTAAATAGTGTATTTGAACAGGACAAGGGCTTCCCTAGCGACTGATCTCAGACACACTTCCATAGCAACTAGACCCAGTGCACGTTCGCTAGTCTGTTTGCACTTAAGATGTAACTGAGTGCAAAGAAACAGCAGAAACTGCTTAAAGTGCAGTTAGCACACAGAGACATTTTTACTCTTCCATAAATGACTGTCTATTCCAAACAACATCATCTATTCAGCTGTTACAGTATGATGTTGTTGGGAATATTTTAGCCTAAGAGTCTGCCTTCCTATGTTTCAGGTGTGTTAAGAAAGTTATAGTGTTTTGTGTAGAGTAAAGGTGATGCCAAGGTCATGATAGAGTTGACACTGTTAAGAACGTGTAACTTGTTTTTTCAGTGTTGTGCCATGTACAGTAACCTTGAAATGTTCATCTGGGTAACATAACGCCATTATTACCATACTCTTTCCTTCAATCAGTTCCAATGGCTGGATGGTAAAACGAGGCCACGATAATTGTAGTGTTCTGTCCGAATAGTCTGCTCGATGAACAGGAGCATCGGAAAGGACCCTTTTTTTTTTAAACAAAATGTAATAAACGCAGTGTGGATTTTGCAGCTTTGCCACCACAATAGGGTAAATTTCACTTTGAAAATAAGATGAACTGTGTGTCTTGAAGTGTCTCACTTTCTTGTTATCAGTCATGCCAACCTATTTCAAGCACTCCTAGTTTCAAACCAGTACCCATAAGGTAAATTTAGAAAACAATGTTTACAGCAAATACATTGGTTTGGTGTTTTTTCCTTATCAGAAGGAAACTGCTGCTTATCACATTAAAAGGTTAAATATGATGGGACCCTCTTTGTGTGCACTGCATTAATAGCACTGAACCTGCTTTAGTGTATTCCCAAACTCAGTTTCAATATATGTGGTACTCTATAGGACCAACAGTGGCAAAAAGTACAGTATATATGATTGTATCATAGTGTAAAATATGTACAGTGTTGATTTCCAATGTTAGAATGTTTGTAATGATAACAATGATGATGACTATGATGTACTTTAATTGTGAAAAAGAGATTTCTGAAGTACTCGTTCAGGGGCGGGTCATACGGGAGAAAAAGTGAAGGGAGGTGATTCGTTGGTCTGAACAAAGGAATGTAGCATGGTGCGAAGCTTCAGCTTTGATTGACAGGTGACAGTGACTGCAGTTTCTATCATAGTGTTAGAATGAGTAGAATGGACTTCTCTCATTGATACACTGGCTTAATTTGAGTAATTAGGAACAGTAATTACATGCACTTTTTAAGCCTGTGTCCGCCTACAACACAACTTGTAAAAAGGCTCGTTTGGAAGAGAAAGGGATGGAAGGACGAAGGTTGAGATAAGTCCTCCGATCACAAACTGAACATTAGTTAAACCACTCCCCCAAGATGAAATTGTCCAATTATAGCTTAGCAACCGTAACTAGACACAGACCTGTCAAGCTTTGCATTTCTCCACATGCTGAAGCGATTTGCATGTAGTAAGATCGTACCGTGGCATTTGAAGATGGTGGCTTTTTTCAGCTTTTCCAAAACACAAAATACAACAGCAAAAGTGTAAAGGATTGATTAAACAATGTGTTTGTCTGTTCTAATGTAAGCTGCAATTATTACCATGTCTGGCTACTTAGCTAACCACCTACAGTATAACCAAGCATTACTTCCAAGGTCAAGGTTCACATCATTAATGAACTAGCTTACGTATGTTTGTGGGGTAACAAAAATAAAAGCCCTGTTCACAACTAGCTCATCCACTGTGTTGCATCTCTCCAGTGAGTTGAATCAGATGTTGCCATCAGTGTTTAGGGTAACTTGAGCAGCTGTGTCCTGCTCCTTATTGGATTTGGGGAAGTTTACACCCCAAAAACTGCAGTCAGCACCGAGATAGTACCCGAGATAGTGTCACATCTGTCAAACACAGTGGTTAATCCTCACCCTTAAAGCCTTTTCTGATACTAACTCTTTGCCTGGGACATTCAGCTCAGTCTTTCAGCACTATATCATGTAGCCATCGCATGCATATTTAAGACACTTTTTACAGGGTTTTCCTTTTAAAACAAGTGAGTTCGAAATATTAAAAAGTCAGCCAGAGACAGCATTTTAACCATCTCACTGACTAACTTAGTTAGCTAGCTACAGCTAATAAAATAGGGAAGTGACAGTTGACCTTATACCTGGAAAACTGATGTTCGGTGACTAGAAGTAAAAAGTCTGCTCATGTTTAACTCTGAAATCAAGGACCCAGTGCTTTAAAATAATTTTGATGGTAAATCTACCATGATTATTGTAAATTACATAATGTGCCTAGCTTGACAGGCATAGCCAGGAGTAACTAAGGGGGCGGGGCTTAGTCCACTGTCGGTTGGGGCGGGCTGCAGCGGGCAGTCAAGTAAAAATTTCAGCCACTAAGGCTTTTTACTTGTGTTTTTTTTTGTTGCCAGAATTGGTAAAATAATGGCACAAAAAATATTTTTAAATACAAAAGGAATACAAATAAATGTTTACAGCAAAAATAAAGACATAATCCAGAAATGAATACTGTTCGCCAAACCACTGATGCCACACTCAAAAACACAACACACAGAGTCTGAGACAGTTAGTACATTCTACTCTTGCTAACTCTATGATTTCACTCTAGCGGACTACCCTTGACCGCTGGCCTTTTAGATGCCTTATTTACTGAGCTATTGTTAATTTCTGTTGCCCTATAGAGGCGATATTAAGAGTGAAGTGTATGTACAGGTAGTATTTATCTGTGTTCTTAAGATGACCTCACATCAATACCCTGGTTTTGTAACATCCCAGAGACCCCCCTCCAACAGCACCTTCACTTTGATTCCTCTAAACCTGAAAATAATACATAATTAAAAAGCGGATGACCTGTATAAGCTGATAAAGAAATTGACAGAATGGTTCTTATTTGTTTAAGTCATACAAAATAATCAATGATAATAAAAATAAATGCAGATTATGGATGTGGTTGGATTGAAAGACTTTATTTGGCTGCAAAATGAGAAAAATTCCTCATGCAATGTCAAGATTAGAAAAAGACCCAAAAATAATGTTGCATTACAGCCAGCAAGTTTATTCCCACTCCCACAAATGTTTAAGTATACGGCAGTCATGCCCACACTTTGGTTTCAACTCTCAAGATCCCAGGTTTGTGTCACTATTCACCCTATCAAGGTTAGCTATGTGGGTTGGTTTGCCTGATCTCAAATACAGTGTTTGTCCTCCATTCCCCACCAGGTCTGTATTGTAAATGTTCATGAGTGATTCTCATTTCAGACTCACAGCTCTCTGTCTCTTTCTCTCCTCCTCTCTCTCTCTCTCTCTCTCTCTCTCTCTCTCTCTTTCTTTGGCCACCGTACAATGCTTATTTGTCCCCATGCCAGTTTCCTCTGCGTTGCTTCTTGTAAAAGGGTGTAGGCATTCTAATGTCTTTCATGTTGCTGTAATAAATATGCTAATATTTCTAATTTCTCACCTGAAGCCTGCAATGTCTTTTTCTTTCTGAGAGACACATTATCTGCCTTTTTCTTTCTGTCTCCCACTCTCAGACACACTTATGTATGCACACACATGCACACACACTACAAAAATACGCTTATTCACTTGCACAATTCCACAGTACAATTACACTGGGACAGTATGATGGTATAAAATTCAAAGTGCCTTCACATGAAAGTGTTATGAAGCCCTCACTTAATTATTTTTTGCTGTGTAACAAAGCCTGAAGGTATCACATTTTGTTTTGGTGAGCGTCTGACCAGTCTTGCAGAAAGCCAGTGCATGGCTGGGAAATTCATGGATAGTCTCATTTGTCCCCAGCTCTGCTCTAATGGTGATAGCAGTGGTGAAATTCCCATCATAACATAACTTGAATGGCAAAATATGGCCATTCTGCAACCACATCTTCACTATCCGTGTGTGTGTGTGTGTGTGTGTGTGTGTGTGTGTGTGTGTGTGTGTGTGTGTGTGTGTGTGTGTGTGTGTGTGTGTGTTCCGTACGGGGAGATAATTCTGTCTCGAGGGAGGGGGAAGGTCAGCGACTCCTGGCCTTGGTTAACCCCTTAATGCACTGGCCCAGTTGCTGTCACTCTATGTTACCGCCATTACACCTCATTTAGCCCATCATATTAGGGTCCATATTCCCCTATCGCCCGCTCCCTCTGTCTCCCTTTCACACACACACACACACACACACACACGACTAGACATACAAAATATTCAGGACCTGTTCTCTATTTCCTCAGTATCTATCTCCTCCTACTGCCCTCCTCTTAATCTTTCTGCTGGCCTTGTGCATCCCCATTTTTCCTCCCCGTTTCCTGTCCATCCTGTGCAGACAGACAGAAAGTTGGTGGCTAGTTCTCTGACCTCGACTACCCCATTATCTCTCCTCTCCTTGCTCTTTCCTCTTCTCATAGCTCCATCCATTCATCCATCCATCCATCCATCCATCAAAAGTTTTCTCTACATGCAGCCCTCTCTTTGAGGTCCATTGTCTCTTTCTGTGTCACTACTATCACCACTGGGTTTCTTTTAACTATCAAAGGCTAATCCATAACTTTGGGCTTTTGTTTCCAGGTGTCTCAATAGGGAGAATGTCATCTCACATATTTACTTTGGATAACATGGAGGCTACTGGGAGCCAAAGGCTTAGGCGATTGATTCATCATGCAGCTGTTATTGGCATCATGTGAAAAGGTCAGGTGTCCCTATGGAGAACATTTTAAAAGGCCATTGGTGACTGATGAGCCTGTCATGTTTGTATCACATACATGCACAACCACTCTGTCTCTCGCTTTGTCTCTCACTCTGTATCTCTCTCTCTCTCTCTCTCTCTCTCTCTCTCTCTGTCTCTCCCATGGGAATGGTAATTGGGCCCCTCTGTCATGCTGTCAGGTGTGGGTTTGAGTGTCCCCTCATGTGCAACAGCAGACATTAAAATAACACAAGAGACCAAAGAGCCATAGATCCACCATGACCTCAGCAGGGCCAGCCATATGTTTACTTGCGTGTGTGTGTGTGTGTGTGTGTGTGTGTGTGTGTGTGTGTGTGTGTGTGTGTGTGTGTCCATAGATGTGTGAATGTTACATCTGTGTGTTCATAATGCATTTCAGACCACAACAGATGCTCATGTGTGAGTGAGCAGGCAATGTGAGTATCAGAAAGGGAGACAAAAAGCAAAGACTTAGATAAAATCTGAACCAGAGGAAAGATTTCAACAGTCATTGGTTAAATTTGCTGAAGTTCCTGCTTTGTCGCTCTTGATTGCATTGCATGTGTCCTCTCTAATCAAATATGGCCGAGTTCAGACGGGCTCAGTGTTTCGTGGTCTGCACACACACTCACACACGAATGCACACTTCAGTGCTCTTCTGTCTCATGAGGTTTTAGTTTGCTATCAAAGCGATTTCCTGTCTCAAATTTTCATCAGTAATCAAAGTTCCTGATTGAATTTGAAAAGTGAGCCCAGCTCTATAAATCACATTACATGCCTCACTCCCATCATGCCTGCTCTCATCAGCCACAGGAATGAGACGCCACCCTGGGTGTATGTCTGCGTCATGGTCTCTGTGTATGTGTGTGTTCTTGTGCATGCGGTGGAACAGGAAAATGGATGTTGACAGAGCTGTGATTTGATCCATGCAATTTTTAGTCGAGACAGATAATATAAAAAGGAGAGAAGAATGATGAAACGACAATAAAGATAACACACCTGGGTCTGATTGCATGTGGAAACAATTCTTGGCATTTGTTTTAGTGTCAGTTGGATTCCAGATAAGTGGAGTTTATTGCAGCAGGTCAGGTAAAATAAATTTTGTGAAAAAGACTCTGACATGATCTTGTTGATGTGTTCAGCTTCCCAGCTGCTTTAAGGAAATAGATCCTGCATCTCTGACTTACTTTAATGGCAGCAACAGCAGCACCTCAAAGTTCTGGTTCCCCTGTAAAATGTCACTGAAACTGACACAAAGCAACTACAAAAATATGCAAAACGACTACAAAGAGACGCAAAGTGACAACAAAGAGATGAAAAACAGCAACAAAGCAGCTAAAAATAGACTGTGAACATGGGCTCATTGTCTCTTAATCATAATTTCCAAATACTGTTTGACCCAAGTCAAATAGGTAACCAGAAAAAGAGAATCAGCAAGAAAACTGACTTTATTGGACAGTTGTCATCACCTAAAATCAGAAACAGATTTCAAAATGGAGCAGCAACTGATAGAGTATGAATAGAATAAGAGGAGAGGGGAATAAATAGTTAAAAAAAAAAGGTGAAGAAAAACTTGGAAGGGTTTGGAGGGACTGAGATAATATTGACCACATAATCCCTCACAGATGTGGAAATCACTGTTTAATGCCTAGCAGACATGACATGCTGAACTGCTATTGGATGACTCAAGAGGGACTCTGACCAAAGACAAACTCGCTCTTACTCAAATCGTGCTCTCTGTCGATGGAGAAAAGAGGATGAAGATCTAAATTTAGGGCAAACGTAGAAAGACCACATCTGTCGGTGTATACATTACACACACAGGCTGTGTATCTTTCCAGGGCTCAGTAACTCATTTGGGGTGAGAGTGTCTATAGAAGCCTTATTTAAGTGTAAATATACCGTTAATGTCTTCCTACGCAGAAATGTGCAGACCTAGTTCTGCTTTTCTGTGAAATCCCTTTATGAACCCTGTGTGACAGCTGATTGCAGTAGGTTGCATGATTCCCTGCTCCTGTTGCCTGTGTGTGTACATGTGTATGTGCGGAGGAAAGACATGAGTGTTCTTTTGTACACACCACGTGTTTATGTGTGTTTCCTATCCTGTATAATCAAACACAACTCCAAGTGCCATCAATCAAGCTTTGATGGGAAAGAGCCTAGAAACCGCCGAAACCCCCCTCAATGAGCTGAGGTTGTGCTCAGGGAAGCTGTTTTAGTGTTGCTGGATCCATTTGGTTTTCTAAACCAAATTGGAGGTGTAGAGGCTCAGGGGCCTGCAGTTAACTACTTATCTACATTATGTAGCCCATCAGAAATGTGATTATTTCAGGGTAGTACTATGTAATGTCTTGGCTGGTGAAAAGAAAGGCCTGCATGGTTTACATCTATGCAGTTTTCTGTAACATCAAAGCATCAAAACAATATGGCTTTACTCTGAGTGTTGACCTGCATTCTCCTCCTGCCCCTTTCATCATCTTATTCTATGTCTTCATCATCTGCTCTTTTCTCCTGCTTTGTTTCTCATCTGAAGTGGATATGAAGCATTGAGGTTGCATTCACAGCATCTTTTTGTTAAATACAATTACAGAATATATATATATATATATATATATATACACACACACACACACACACACACACACACACACACACACACACACACACACACCCTCCCTCTCCCTCCCCCTTTCCTGTCGCTCTTGCTGCAAACTTTCTTCCACCATTATCATTGGGAGAAAGCCCCGTTTTTGTTTTTGATTTAATCACAGCTTTGATGTCTCCAAGAAGATTTGGTAGGCCACTATGTTAAGATATTCCGAAGATATGGGGTGGTCTGTAAACTTTTTCCAGAGCTGTGGAAAGAACATTTTAGTGATGGGCTGGAATGACTTTAAACTGAAGATCTCACTAAAAACCGTGCATGTAAGTTAAAACATCTTTTTTTAAATGAAATAGTAGAAATGCCTCCATATTGTGGTATATGTCTAGATCATGGATTATTACTAAAAAGATTAATTTCTTACTGTTCTTTAAACCATCATAAGACGTTTTCTTTACTGCTACCTTTCCTTCTGCATCTACTCCTCCAGCCTCTTTGTCATCTACACAATGGTGGCCATTGACAAGTGGGTATGTCTACTTGGCCTCTGGGGATTTGACTAGTGACATAAGAGAAAACGGAGTATGGGTGAGTGGTACTGCTGGTTGTGCAGCTGTGCTTAGGTGTATTTGGATTGGAAATTTCCAAGGGAATGGTAAGGAAGGTTCCCATTGTGCGATGAAATGTAAAGAACTGTGCATCAAATTATGTAACAGCGGAAAAACCCAGTCATATATAAAAACACTGACTATGAAAAACAAAAAAGAATTAGAGGAGGACAAAATGATCGAAACCAGCTTGTGTGACAGGCTGGTCAATGAGTTGAAGTTGATGAGAAGGGCTTTTGGTGGTCAACGGTCAATAACCTAATCAAGACTTTTGACTCCTCATATGCATTTCTATTGGACCATCTGAGGCACTCGTAAATATTCATTTGGATTTCAGCAATTATTTTTATTTGTTCATTTCTTTCTGATTCAAAAATGTGGTCACCTCAGGACCTTTGCATAAGAAATTATTGCATCTGTAATTAGGTGAAAACATTTTAAATACTGGTTCATAAAGAAGAAAAATGCTCTTTAAATGTTACAAGAATGCATTATTGAGTTTCTCCAGTGGGTTTTTAAAAGGTTTCCATATTTCAAGGGGTGCAGAATT